TAAATAAAAAATTTTCAAGTGTTCTAAAATCCTAAGTTCTAAATTCATTCAAAAATCTGTTCTAAAATTAGAAAATCGTGTTTCAAAAAATGTTCTAAAAATCGCGTTCTAAAAAATTGTATTCTAAAAAATTGTTTTAAAAGCTTTTTATAAAACAAGCAAATCAATATTCTACTTCTAGTGTTAAAATGAGTCGTCAAACCTTTTTATTTAGCCCTAAGTTTAATAAGAAACTGATCTATAATTCACCATCAAATAAGTATCAAGAATTCACTAATGCTTATGTGTATAGTATTATGTTTAAAACTGGAAATGATACCCCTAATCGAAATAATGTTTGTCGTGAAACTACAAAAGAATGGAATAAAATTAAAAACAAGAGTAAATCAGAAATTGATGAGATAATTAGAGATTACCTGGCCATGCCAAATAACCTATATGACATACAAAAAATAAGACTAAGGTGTTTTATACACCTAGAGAAGATTCAACTTCTCCTTCTAGTCTTCCAACTATTCATCCAGTAGATCCTGTAATAGAAATTTCTGTTAATAGATCCACTCAAAGAAAGGCAGCAGATAAAATATTAATAGCAGAAAAAAACTTATCAAATCTGAGCAAATCTATAGCATCGCAACAGATTTTCAAATTCGTCATGATATGTATGTAAGAATAGTGAATCTTCGAGATGAAATCAAATCTAACAGGAAGAGGATTGTTAAATTAAAAAGAAATGCAAATTATGCTCAAAAATGCAAAGAAAAAAAAGAAAACTACTTACTAAAAATCAGGAGGTAATACTATATGATAACCCGGTTGTCTTTCACTTCTTTACAAATATCCAAATTTGCACAATCATATCCATAATTCGATCGAGTTTGGAACAGCTGATGAAAAACAATGAATATAAGTGGTTAAAGTGCAGATCATTGAAAACTTATTCAAGAACCTTGAAGAGAATTATAATGTCTACATGGCACGAATCACATTGAATAATTACCTGCTATCTCATTAATTCAATTCCATTGCCGCAAAGGCATACCATCATCCAGCATAGGTCATGGTAATCACAGTTTCACATACTGAAATACATGACCATTCTGATGGTCACTACTATCTTATCTCTGTTAAATACGCAAGACAATTTGCCACTGCCTTTGCTGATAAATCTGTTGTCATTCTCAAGATGACAAGGCGAAGATAGGTCTTGGGATACCTGCTGTAGGATGGACATTTCACATGTTGCAGTCAGTTTACGAACCTGTTCACGTGGCTGACTATGATTTTCCTGCGGAAAGTGAGCAAAAGTTAGTCCTATCGATTTATCTTATGATTAAACCAAATGAATTAAATGATGAATTATGAACCGGACAGCTTGCTATTTTTGCACGTTGACAGTGATCCCTTGGAACGTCTTTAATCACACACATGCAAGACCTCAAAAGGCTTACTTTGGATTCTCAATATAACAACACGTTAAAGACCGATGGAGAAATTCGACCTATCTGGATGTTACTAGTAGATGAAGGACTAGATAAAATTCCAAGGCATCTGAAAAACATTAAAACGTATTGTCAACTTTTTCGAAAGTTTGATTTAGATTACCTGACAGTATGAACACATGCTTTAGGGCAATCCAAATATAATTCTATTAAGAGGGAATGGTAATGCTATCTAGAAAATTGGCAGGCATCACACTACTGATCGATCACTTTGGAACACACCTAAATATACAAGGCAAAGTGATCAATCTGAAATTAGCTCTTCAAAATTTCTGACATGCCATAGAGGCACTTTGCGAAATTTGGCATCGCGATTTGATTTTTGAAAGAAGTGTGGATGCATGGTATGTTGAAGAGCTTGCTAATCTATTTGAAGATCTGCAATTTGAAAGTACAGACAAAGAAAAAGCAGAAGAACAAAAATAACAAAAAAAGAAACAAGAAAAAGGAGACGACTTACCAGAATGTTTTATGCTGTGGTCATGAATCGAAAAGTATTGCAATCTATATCAATATTCCTTTGATATTAAACAGTGCACGAATACAAACTGTTGTGAACAATCTCGTGCAAAAGAAGCCACAGAATTTCTTCTTTCAAATAATGGTTTCTTACCTCCAGTCACAAAAACTAAAGATGGACATTTTGCAAATCCTATATATCTTCTTGAGTATTATAATCTGTTAAAAATTCCTGGGTACAATTCGCATTGCCCTTTTCTTGATCAAACAACTTATTCGTGATTTTGTTGCTCTGAGTGTAATAAATACTTTCCAACTCTTGCTTATTTGACAAACCATAAACGAACAGTACATCCTGCTAGCCATGGACGACCTAAGAGAAAGTCTAAAGAACAAAATTCAAGAACCTTTAACAACTTCTCTCTTCTTCTATCACAACAGAAGCAGCCTTTTTTTGATGAAGTGTATTTAAGAGATTGTATGTCAAACGAAAAATGCATATAGTCAGTTATAACATTTATACATGCGTGTATATATAATATAGTCTACTATAAATAAATATCAAATACAATATTACAGTATTAAGTATAAATATAAACCACCTGTATCACGTGACCAATAATATTATGTATAACCTAAGATTTTCTGTTATTCCCTCACCCCCTAAAATATTAGGTAATATATGTCACTGCCCTAAAGTTATTCCAAAGTTTTAATTAAGAAAATCATTAGTAATTGCACTAAAAAATTTTAAAGATAGCTTTTACAAAGGTTTAGTAACAGGTGTATTTTTATTAAAAAAAACATAGTAAAAAACGCCTCTGCAGCTTCAGAAATGCTTTTTTATTAAGTAAAACATAGTAAAAAACGCCTCCGTAGCTTCAGAAATGCTTTTTTTACTAAGTAAAACATAGTATAAAACGCTTCTGTGGCTTCAAAAATGCTATTTTACTTAGTAAAACATAGTAGAAAATGTCTCCGCAGCTACAGAAATGTTTTTTTGCTAAGAAAACATAGTAAAAAGCATTTCTGAAGCTGCAGAGGCGTTCTTTACTATGTTTTACTTAGTAAAAAAGCATTTCCGAAGCTGCGAAAGCATTTTCTACTATGTTTTACTTAATAAAAAAGCATTTCTGAAGCTGCGGAGGCATATTTTACTATATTTTTCTTAATTAATACCATCTCTAAAGCTTTGGAGATAGTTTTACTATTGATTCAAATCAAATCAAATATTTGAATAGTTGATTTGAATTTGATCGAATCGAATCAAAGATTAATTTGGATTTGATCAAATAAATGATTCTTTGATTTAAATTTGATCAAATCAAATCAAATATAAATTTGTAATTGTATTTGATTTGATTTTCAATCAAATACTTAAATATCAAATCAAATTGCAGAACCCTACTTCTATGTTCAAAGCAAATGTTAAATTTTATATCAAACTTTTAAGTTAGTAAAATTTTTTATAAAAGAATCATATATACTTAAAGAAATAATTTAGTTACCTATGTTATAATCTAATATAGGATCTGCTAGTCTTTTTCTTTAAGTTACATTTTTTTTTATTTGCATTTTCGTTTTTGAATAAGGCTGGCATTTTCTACTAATTTGCAATAGTATGAATAATAAAGCTATTCTCTGACTTTAAAATAAGAATATAGTTGTAATGTTTGATTTTTATGACATTTCTCATATGCAAGTTCTGTTATTACATGAAACACAATTAATAATAAAACACATCTTTAATCATTATTATTATAGTGATCTTAGTAATCGCAACGCATTTCTCCAATTTTGAGTAGCAAATGGTGTTACATATAGTACTGATCATTTTGCCAAGTGATTTTTATATGAAATTTCATGTTTTTGTTTTACTTCGTTGATAAGCAAACTGTGTAACTTTATTATATTTTTTAAGATTTTTTTATATGATTATTCGTTGAGTTCGTGACTATTAATTTATCAACTTAAAAACTCGAACACTCTCATTAACTTTTAGTGGATCTTACTTGAAAAACAGACAATTTTGCTTTTAAACTTATAATTATTTCAAAATATTTTTTTTTTGTATTAAAAATAAATATAAACCATTTTTTTTTTTTAAAAATAAAGTATTATTGAACAAATAATGTTCTTAAATAAATTTCAACTTTGTATTAACAAGTTAAAAGTTTGTCACTTGTAAAAGAAAAAGGTTTTAATAAAAACTCTTGAAGGTATGTCTATTAAAAATATTTTTTGCTAAATATATATTTTTTATATTTTATTCTGAATATATTATAATACATTAAATTGATATTAAATGTTACTTTTTTTTACTTGGATTTTTGAAACCAATATTTTTTTTTTACTTGAATGATATGAGACCTTTGCAATAGAAAGGGGGGAAACTGCCAGAAAAATAAAAAATGAGTTAATATTAAATTTGAACATATTTTAGCCTAAAAATCATATTTAGCATATAAAAGTAAAATTGATTTTTCCCGCCCTTTCTATTGCAAAGGCCTCATATAATAAAAAATATTTCAATTAAAATTTCTTTTTTTTTAAATGTAAGAAATAATCAACTCTAATATTATTAAACAAACTTTTTACTTAACTTTAGAAGGTATTCCACTAATCATAAAGTATGTCATCAACAAAAAAAAAGTAAAAATCGCATGTCATATAGCATCATAATATGAAAAATAATATTTAAAGTTGGAAGATACCAAATTCTTCTACTAATGAAAAAATTGAATAAATATTAGTATTTTTAAAATAACATTAGAATGTATGAAATAGAAAGAAAATTAAAGACTAAACTTTTATTAAAATAAAAATAAAAATTTATAAAAAAATTGATTTTTTGAATTTTTTACATAAAAACTATCAGAAAACCAACCTTTGTAACCTAAGAAATTCTTTTTTCTCTTGTAAATTTACATATATTTTTATTGTTGTAACTATTTATTTGTCCATACTTTTAAAAGGATCTTAAAAAATACCTTGTATATGTCGGAAAAAAAAAAAATTATTAAAGCACTAAAAAATTGATCGAACCTGATAATATATTTGATATTCCGTTTTATTACTTAATTTAGATCAACGTTGTATGTGAACAAAAATAAAATGAAGTGATCCAAATATGGTTACACGAAGTTCAATTTAATATCTATCAATCTTCTTGGTTTCTGCAAAAAAAAAAAATATCTTTCTTTTTCAGGACAACCTGTGAAACTATTATTTGCACAAAACATGTCTACCTCCTCTCTTGCAACTACTGTCCGTCAAGAACTTAACCGCCTTTTCTTGAATGCTGTAATTACAGAAAAAGAATTTGGTGACTTTCTAGCTTATATTTCCGATAATCCTGATGAAATACCTGAATTGGAAGATTCCCTCAAATATGGCAATGATAACGTTAAAGCTATATACCTTAGAAATAGATTAAATAGATTAACCAGTATGTTTTATACAATTTAAGTATAAATTAATGTGTTTGACTTCGTTCTTTTTTTCGTCTTCTCTTGTTCACACCGTGTCATATTCGCCAATAATACCGAATACTTGCTTATTCTTGTGCTTTTCTTTCCTGCTTCTTATCAAACCCGCCCAAAAAACACATTCGCGTTATCGTAGATCTTCTTATTACCGAGCAAGAACTTTTTAGAACAGTTTTTCCCGCTCTTTCTTTTAATAGGATTAAAACAAAATCCACAGTTAAATCAGCCTCACGAAGAGTGCCAAATTATCCGGTGGAACTATGGGGTGCCTTTCTTAGTAACGCATTTAATGCTTCGTTATCGATTAATGCAGAAGATCGTAAATTTTATAAGCCTAATTTCCCTCAATTAACCATAAATTCGGAAGATACAACGGTTGATCTATTTTTGGAAGTGGTTGGTAAAGTCAACGATCAAAGATTGGCTTCTCTACCAAACCCACAAATGTGGTGCAAGCGTAATCAAGCTCCTTTTGTCAAGGGAGAACCGGATATTGTATGTATTGGAGCCCCAAACAGTACAACGCTTCATTCTACAAATGAGAATGGAGTAAGTTTGATAGCAACGGTTGAAGTCAAGCCGGACCAACTTCTGAACAACATCATACAAGAAATTATTGATGAACAAAGACTTCCAGGCAGTGAAAGAGAATTGTACAATATGTATAATGTAGCAAGAGGACAGAATGATAGCGGTACAAATAATTATTCTAAATACGATAAATTAAGGAACATTGTTCATCAAGCGTTCGGATACATGGTGGTTAATGACAGGCGATATGGCATGATTACGACACTCAATAAAACATGGTTTATGTTTCGCAAAGGTGGAGATGAAAAAACTCTTTGTATTTCTCCCGCGGTTTCAATCAGTCAGGTATACACATACTATCAAGCTTCATTTTGGGAGTGTCTGCGATATTTTGAAGATGTATCTACGTCAATTCCATATGCACGTTCACCTTCTGGTTCTGAACCGCCATTAACCGATAGTGATGACAGTGATGATGGGGATTCGGACAATCAAGAAGATCCACCTCCACCACCTCCATCTGGTAAAAAAGACCAGAAAAAGAAAAAGGATCCTGATTATAACTCGTCACATAAACGTAAATTTCCATCATATACAGGTTCAGGAGTGAGTTCTCGAACTCGGAGAAAGACTAAAAGCAATGCTACCAATAATACTGAGTTAAAAGAAACTAAAGAGAAAGAAATTAAGGAGGATATATTACTTAAATATATGAAAAACTATGATCGTAACCATTTTACCTTCGGGCATATATTGGGATATGGTCGAACAGGGAGCATCTTTGAAGCAACACTTGGCAGAAAAACAGGTGCTCTCAAGATGGTGGCTCTATATAAAGATGGGAATAAACTAGAAGAACTGCTTAGTGAAATCAAGATATACATTGGACCTCTCAAGGTTATTCAAGGCATTCACATACCAAGACTTTTAAAATTTGGGGTTCTTTGTGAAGCGTTTGTCTTTATTCTTACGTCTCTTGCTGAAGAAACTTTTGCGACGATAGGAGACATCACCAGAAAAGAAAAGGAGTTAGCCATTAAGGGCTTACAGGAATTACATTCGAAGGGAGTGATGCACGGAGACGTTAGACTAGAAAATATAATGGTGAAGAGGAGGAATAAGGGTTCAACTTCTTGTGTGTGGTGGATTGACTTTGGTTGGAGTAAAATGACGGATAATTTGAAAGAATTGGATAAGGAATTAACAGAGTTAAAATATTTGCTTGGAATGGTAGGCATGAAATAATTAATCCGTTTTTATCATATACTTACTTACTGTTCAGCATACCAAAAATTTTTTTTACACGTGATTTGCCGCCATAGGCATAAACCAAACTTTAGTTTTAATGCAAAGTTTTAATAATTAATAAACTAATCAAATGCAAAGACAAAAATGCTAACTTGTAAATAAAGTTTTACCCAATAAGGCTTATATTTTTTTTTAACACATGTATATGATCCCTGCTAAATGTATCATAAACATGTACATTCTGGGCTGCGCCCTAGAAACGAACAAGCTTGTCATCAGCATTTCTTGTAGATCATGCTTCTATTGGTTAGATGTGTGACGCTTATCACCTGATACCTGAATTCTGAGATCTGGCACTTTTTTTATATGTAGTAAGCATGACTGACTTTTTTTTTTTCCTTTCAGTTCAGGTGATTGGAATGCAACGTTATGACTAGAATCTTATGAAACTATATACAGTCAGAACTTGATATAACGATTCTCAATATAACGATCACTTAATAAAATCTTGTTAAAACAATTTTTTTAAAAAATTTGACTTTATATTTGAACATATAAAAATCGTTATATAAAACTTATAAATTTTGATAAACCGATTTTTTTTAAAAAATTTTATAGTAAATCAGAAGGTTCGTTATATCGAGCTCTGATTGTATTGGCCACATTCCTAGGTCTCCGCTGGCTCATATGTACATTGGCAACTCATACCGGTAGAACTGGCCCAGATGTTATCTTATCGGTGGAATTAAGCACTTACAGAGGATTTGATACCCCTTCCAGTTACCAACTCATCCGGGAACTACATACCACTATAGGACTGAAGGATCCATTACACCATATACCTTGCTAAGATATACTCTTACCCAACTAATGCTGCAGGATTTATGGGATTATTACTACAAGATTTGCCCAGATGTTGAACTAACAGGGTAATTATCAGGCTATATTGACAAATATCTTAGGAATTGAACCTAATCTCAGATCCAATGATATGCTCGATTAGATGGTGCTGCAGCGTGCAATGCAGTCTATTATCACCATTGATCTAATCTACTAATTTCTGATCAATCACTTCCTTAATTTATATGCAATCTTATGATCATATACGGAAATAAGAGTCCTGCTGGGTGAGACAGAAGACTGTATTTATTACAGGCCAATCAGCAAAGGCCAAGTTTCTGTCGATCCTTGGTTTCATTTGCATTCTCATGTTCTAATACTATGCAGTATTTAGACATGATCAATGTTGATCGATAGATCAATCAATCAGATTTGTACGCAAGTTAATACATACGCCTATCATTTCAGCTACATATGAAATTCTTATGAAAATCATCTAGTTTTATGTATCGGCCGATACCTGAATTGATGGCCTATTGTTGTGTAATGAAACTTTAGCTTAATAGGAGACTCGCGATTTAACCACTGAGTCAGGAATACCGATCCCTTAGCATGACTAACTTTTTTTTATTTCAGTCTAATAGATTTATAACGAGGATCTCAAGTACCCTATTATTGTCAGTCTACCTATAGGTCTTCACAGGTTTTAAAGTCATTGACAACCTACACTGTTGGAACTGGTCCAGATATTGCCAAATTGCTGGCTTGAGCCTATTGGAAGACTTTGACCTCTTCCTTCTGGTTACCAGCTATCTAGGTCTAATATATTACTATCCCTATAAGAAATCAAAATAAGAAAATGATATTTTTTTATAAGGTTTATATACGTAATTAATGATTCTATATCAAAATTTCGTATGTTTTATAATGATTTATTTTTTTATAATTTTTTAAAAAAT